ATGGTATAATGGCCTGTAGTTTTTACACAAGAAACTGTGACAGTGGAGAAGAAAAACAAGCACATAACAAAAAGAGAGAATCATTTAAGAAAATGACCTAAAAATAAAATTCCATTGTAAGCTGAAGATGTGTTCAGAGTAGATGACATATGCTAATTAACAGGATGGATTAACTGTAATATTCTTTACAATTTGTGTGGATGTGTGTGGTCGCACTTGCCTTTAATGACAGATTATATCAAATTAGCGTCTGAGGGAAAGGCATTAAACGGATGGAGCGGAAGCGCTGGAGTGGTATGGTCGTCGCTCTTTCTTATTGCTTGGGTTTTCATTATGAAAATGCAGTTTCACTCCATTAGCTGTTTGGCTTAACTGCAACTTACAGTTTAATATGACAAAAGGGTTTGTATATGTGAGGTATCGCTCATCCCTTATGGCCTCTTAAAGCTAATGGGTAAATATACACTCAGGTACACATACACACATTTACTGCCATTCTCTGCAGGTTGTTAACATTACTCTTTCAGCTTACACCTCTGAGTCTCACACACGCTCAGACTCAACCACCCTCACCCCCCGTGGCCACTCCCGCTTTCCCACGGTGACCCCCTTAGGCAGTTTCACCTGTTATTTCTTTCACAGTGCGGAACACATTGAGGCGCTCGGGGTCCAGAGCTCCAATACCATGGTACATGTCCCTGTAGCAAAAACACAATAAGCAAAATATTAAAACTACTAAAAAATTACTAAAAAACCAAAACATTTTTTTGTAACAATAAATGTTTCCATTGTTATGTGTATATAATGTATGATTATTTGTATATATTACTTTTTTATCCAGTTAAACGTACATTTAATTTGATTTTGTGGTCAAGCAATTTTTATATTTCCACAACAGTGACTTAAATTACAAAAGAGCAAAAAAAAAAAACTACCGTACACATTAATCAACATTAATGATGATTAATTATTCACTAAAGATAATGGGTAATATGAAGAAGTCTTTTGACCATGAAAAAGATCAACATTTCTTTTGTTTGTATTACCATATAAATAATAATTTAGAGATTAGGTCATAGCAGTTCCGATGGCTCAGTTTAGTTCAAAAACTGGAAAACCTACATAGGATTTATTTCAAATACTGCTTTCAAAATGTAACATGTGAATCTAATGACTTCAGGTCACAAACACATACCCCTTGATGCCAGTAATGAGAAAGATGAGGTTGCCATTGATTTTAGTGCAGTTGACAAACTTGTCAATGTTGCTGGCGTCCACTGTTTGTGCTGTTTGCAGGCTGCCTGTGCCGATTCCATCACACACTAAGACAAAAAGACAAGAAACAAAAACGGGAGGAAAAAGTAAGTAAGAAATTACAGATTATTTCACTCTATTAATATTTTCGCAGGATTTCAGATTTTCATGCCGTCCTTGTAATGTTCAGACTTATTCAAGTGAGACTGCTCTTGGCTATTATTTCCCCACTCTTTTATATAAATATACCCTGGTCTTTGTTGCGTGGAAAGAGGCCGTGGCCCCTCTCTATAAAAGCACTGGCAAATCCACAGCCAATTCCTGCCTGTAATGAATCCATTACATCTGCATTAATTACACTTGCAGTCTTAGTGCAAGCCAAGTAATTTCTGACAGAAACAAGAGGGCTGGAGAGATGATGAATAAGGTTAGCATTAAGCGGTGCAACCACATTTTGATAGTGATTTATACCAGCCAATTCCATATCTGAAATGTTAATTTGTTATCATTTCCCGTGGTTCCGCAGGCTATCCCTCATTAACCCCTCCCTGCTGTGTGAAGATGTAATCAAGAGATTAGCTAATCAATGTGCACCGTGGCCGCTCTACGCGTCTTCCCTCCGAAGGGAGGAATTACCTCTGTGATGGATCCTCTGTAATGGAGTAATAATGCCAAGTTTCACACTGAGCATTTTAGGATTTCTGAGGATTATTCTTATTCTTAAATTACAGAAGGTCGGAAAAACATTTTACAACACATAAAATATTATATAATAAATAACAGGTATATTTATCATATTATATATCATATTGAATAAAAAAAAAGGTTGTAACAGGGCGTTAAATTGGTTACATTAGTGACATTACGGTACGACTGAGCTGACTGTTTCACAACAAATTCAATTCTCTCCAGCTCTTCTTACATAATTCTTGTGGGCTCTTGTTGATCCGCAGTCATCACTAATAGCTTTAAGCTACTAGATTAAAATGGTTCACTCCAGCAAGCTCTTCTGAAAGCAGTAAATTCAGTGCTGTGATTGATTGGAGGAGCACGAGTGAATTCCTTTGAACTTCGCTTTTCTTGAACTTCTCACAAACACCACTTTTATCACTGAGAACTTCTCGTTCAAGGTCTTCTCCCAGAGACTGCGACGTTAAATACAAGTACAAATACAATTCTAAAACAGACTCTAATGGAGTTGAAACTGCAAAAAGGTCAATATTTTTAACATGTGTTCTAAATTACAATTAGATTTTTCTTTTCATCCTTTTTTTCTGTTTTTACTGTGCAGACTAAGACTGCACCATGGACACTGTTTCTGGGCCTTTAATTACCTTTAATTTAGCTCTAAATTCATTAATATTTGTAATTATGAATGGAATTCCGACATATGTAGAGAACCCGCTGTAATTAACAGAATCTATAGTAACAGATCAATATTAGGCACATTTATATATGACATATAGTAGTGCTTTACCTTTTGGACAGATGTCTGTGCAGGGGATGCACATCTTGATGCGGTTCTCTTCCACTTCCATCTTGTTGCTGGGACATGCTCTAACACAGGAGCTGTGGTCCACCACAAAGTTATCTGTCAAAGTCAGAGGTAAATGTGAGTGTTCCGTCTCACAGATTAGATGCTGTAGTGATAATATGCTGTTAGCTAACTGTTTAGTAAGACCTACCAGGAACCTAATCAGGTTAAAGCTTCAGAGTTTAATTGCATTTATCTCCTAATCCAGGAAAATGGATCATTATTCAATGGCATTTGTATAATTATCTAAACTAATTCGTCTTTATTGCTGAGAAGAAGTAATGAAACCAATTAGTGCTCCGTGGCAGAAGAGGAAAAGTGCAACTGGGGACTTATCATCTGATGATCAGTGGGACTTAAATATTCAATCTGTGATACAGCCTCACTTCTTGCTCTCTGGAATTAGTGCTGGGCTACAGTACGATGTCGATAAAGGAAAAGGAGGTGAGATTCATTGTATTCAGACTGCAACAAATGGTGCAGCAATGAGTCGATTGAAACAAACATTTTTAATGAGTTATTTCCCTTGTTTACAAATAATTGCTGAGTCTCGTCTCAGGATAAATAGGAGGATGAATTCTTTAGCCGACACCACTGCACAAACAGTAAAACCTATTCCTAAAAATGATCATGAATATTGGTGCAAAGTGAAATGACACTAAACATGTGGACTAGGCCTCAGTGAGTCAAGCCTCCAGTCCTCAGTGACTGTAGTTTATGAATGTGATGGAACAGGAGTCGGCCATCGAGGGTCAGCTCAGAAATGGGATTTGTGACCAACTTCTGGAGCGCGGCCCTGGACTGGTGATGTTTCTGAAGACTCACGTGGACATTTCTTGACGCAAAATGCTCCATAAGTGTATTTGGCTCTTGGGTTGTGCTCCAGCTGGAAGGACATAGGGTTGTAGACAAACGGCTGAGGGCACTGGGTCACGCAGGCCCCGCTGTCGTTGAAGTTGGTGCAGGCCTGGGAGATTAAAAACAGGATGGTTGTTGGACGTTACTTTGACTGGAAACATTACGACAAGGTGTGTGTGTGTGTGTGTGAGTGTGTGTGTGTGTGAGACACAGAGTGAGTGTTTTTCTTATTTTTGTCACATATTAGAGCAACATATCATTTTTATGACAGACGGTTACACGTGGAACATTAGGTGCCACTTTGGACGGCAAACTGGGAGAAATCCTACAGCCTCGGTTTCACACACAGCTCTGATGTAAAGTGGTGAAATGTTTTCCCATAATCCCCATAAGTGTTTTGTCATCTGAGGCTACAGGATAAAGCTGCAGTAATTGGATTAGATGAACCCTTCTGTGAAATACAACTACAATATCATCTCTGCTTCTGTGTGTGTGTGTGTGTGTGTGTGTGCGCGCGCACTCGTCACCAGCGTGCCTGTTCGTAATACAGAAAGAACCTGCATTGGTATTAATTAAAACAATGAATCACCAATTTGATCTTTAATGGGAGACACTGCCATCGACTTTTAAATCCCTGTGTAACGACAAACAAATTGTTTGTTGTTAAACAAAGTAGATCATTTTGGCAGGGATTATGGCAGACATATTTTGTTTTTGGATTTAAATGGAAGACAGAAAGAAGGGGTTAGACTGTGTGCACAAAGTACCACTTACAAAGCAGTCTGTGTCCTTGGGACCTGAGCAGCCGCCGGCACACTCACGATGGCAGCAATCGCTGACGTAAGGCCCGTAGCATCGGCCGTCACACTGCTCAGCACACACCGTCTTTGTCACTGCGCAGGAAGTAAAGACGTTTAATTTAAGAACCAACACACGCTCAGTAACATTGCACTGCTGAATGTTTTGTAGTCAATTCTGATAAAGGGGGTGGCCAATGTAAATACCACACTTTTGGTATTTTGAGTTCACAGACTTGACTAACTAAATACAAAAGAACAATAGTCTGAAGGTATAATATATATATAATAGAGTAGAGTAGGGCTAATATATAGAAGGTATAAAAATATAGGGTTACTACATCACTTTAGCTACCTGCTACTCATCTGTGTACCTGCACTAAGGAGAGTAATACATAAAAACACCACTACCAACGCTAATGTGAGCACTTAAACTACCTTTGAAAGTTCGGCTAATTCTGCTATAAATGCTAATTTGACTCTTACTGCTACCAATGCTAATGTGATAACTTTTGCTACTAAGGAAAATTTAGCTAGATCGTTTGGAACTTTGCTTACCTACGCTAGTTTAGCTTACCTATGCTGTTCTCTGTAGTTTTTATGCCGTTGTTGGTACTTCAGATAATTCTGCTTTACATATTACTTTCACTCCTTCTGCCTATGCTGCTCATTTAGAAACTTCTACCTCGAATGCTAATATGACTACTTTTTTTACATATGCATACTTGGGTTCCTTTGCTTTTTCCTGCTAATACGGCTAAACATGGCTACTAAATATTACTAACACCTCTGTGCCTGAACCAGTTAGAAAATGTGCTTTAAATTTGAGACACAATAGAAAATAAGCACAATCAAATTTTCACACTGAGTAAAGTCTTTTTTTTTCATTTCATGTTGCATTTAGACAAAATCTTAACTATAACTAGGGTGGAAACTAAATGTGTAGCTATGCTTTTAAAGAGCTTTACAGTGTGATACAAGGGCCTTAGTACTAATCCTTTTATGATATTTTCTTGCTACAATCCCAGTTTACCCAATGTGTATTCTGGCTATAAAAAATAAGGCCAAGAGAAACTCCCATGAAGCTTTGACGTATTTCTTGTTGTTCAATCTCCTGTAAATATCAGGGGAATGAGCCTTTTCTACTTTAAAAACAAAACTAAAAAAAAAACTCTCTCAGTGTTACTGGTGCAAAACAAACACTAATGTGTTTTGTGCCAATTGTATTATGAGTTTCTGCTGTACTTTTGCTAAAAAAAGGGCCTCCCGCAAATTATTGGGACAGTGGAAGAAATAGCAGCCAGCAAGTCAGCAGGAGCTTGAAGAGGAGGCATTAAAAACTGCTGCGCTCACTATCTGCCATGTTGGGAACATAATGATGCAGTAGAAGAGGGAGGCAGTGAAAAAAAGTCAAAGACAAAGCTGTGTACTTTTAAGAATGTGTTTTTCAGAAAACAAATAGGGAAAGCATCTTGTTGTTGTGTGGAGAACTAAGAAATTAACTGTATTAAGTCATGCTAGCATTGTTACATTTAAATACTTAGTGGAATGTGATGCTAAATCAGTCTACCATTAACACTAAGAAAAGAAATCCAAGTCTGTAACTATTCATTACTGTTCCATCTGGCATAAAAATTACTTTATTACATTATTAAATTAATTAGCTACCAACTTATTACTTCTCATTTAGATCACAAGGCACTGGAACTGTTCCAAACATCCTCGCCTTTTATTTCTAACCAAAGTTATTCGCATTTATTTCAGCTTTGAATAAACCTTTTTACTTGCTATTATTCGCTGACTAAATATAATTTTTTCTCATCATTTCAGTTCAGGCCACTCAAACTTATTGAGGAGAACAAAGTGTGAAACTAGCAGTGGTTATTTTAGTCGGCCAAATCAAAGTATTACACATTTATATTACACAATAGATGTTTTATGGTATGCCTGTAATTTAAATGGGGTCACTGAAATGTCTAGAAATGAATACAAAATTACTGATAACATTTTTTCAACTAACTATTATTCTTTTCAAAATTGTGATAAAAACTCCACACAAATCAAAACAACTGCATTCTTTCATTTTCATGAATATAAATTGAGTTCAAATAAAATGGAGCGTATAAAAACATCTGAGCTGTTGCATCTTGATTGATGGCTGAAGAAAAGTCCAAGATATCTGTGATGACAGAAAGGGGTCAAAAGCCAAGAATTGTTGTGAACCAGTGACTTGGACCTTTACCCTTGAGCTACAGAAAATAATGATGAGTGAATTGTTACAGTTTCATCATTAGCGTAGTTTAATAGCTACTTCAATCTGTAATTGAAGCAGCCGTAGAGACTAAGAGTGAGTCTCTGTGTCTACTTACAGGTTTGGCACTGGTCTTCTTGATGGCCCCAGCAGCGTCCGTTACATGTTCGATGACAGCGTCTGCCTGCAGAACACACACGCACAAAGTCTAACGCAATCGCAGCAACTCCTCTGCAAACTTTTGATGCAGTTCTGACACAAATCACCCCCACACACAAAAAAACCAAGTGCCTCACAGATGTCCTCCGATTTTCCAGAGTGGTGACAGTGACAGTGACAGATCTGTCGAATCTCCTCTGCTTGTCTGACAATAGACCCTGTTACACTGGCAGTGTGTAAATAAACGACAGGCCCCCGCTTCCCTCCATCAGGCGCTTCCTCGCACAACGTCCGACCTGACAGCGAGCCCACAGCCTTCATCTGCCAGTCGCCCATCATCCAGACTTAATTGACTATGGGTTAATTACAGAGTAAGTGGAACAGAGCAACAGATTGTCACCCTGCCCCTTTCAACCACTCCCACAGTGGGGCTGTTAATGTTAAATACTAACTGCAGCTTGGCAAAAGGCCCCCCAATTTGGCAACCTCAACTCCCACATGCTCTTTTGTCATTTTTTGACACACCTCCTCTGTTCTTTTTTGTTTTCCATCCTCCCCATAGACAGACAAGGGTCTTCTACTCATTCCAAGGGTGGACTTTTTGTATGTTACTTGAATGTGTTTATCTAGGAGTAGCCAGCTTTTAATAGGGTGTAGCACATCAATGAACAAAGTAGAAAAGTCTTTCCTTGTTGTTATTGTCCTTTAAGAAGTCTTTAGTACCTGTGTCTGCTGATGTCTGCTCCCTAATATGAGCAAGAGAAATGTTAAGAAAAGGGCAGAAAAGTTCACGAGAGTCTTTCTTTAACAACCTGCTTCTCTGACATGAAATATCTGCTGGATACCACTGTCTGTTAAGTCACAAAACGAGGGAGGTAAGGGACTGCAAAGACCGTGAAAAGGGCAGGGAGTCGATGGTGCGGGGTCATGAAACTGTCAGACTCCAGGAGATATAAGGAGAGCACAACAGACAGCAGCTCTATGGGCCTGGCCGCAGAGCCACCATCACACTTTTCTACAGCTGAGAGCCTCTCACAGTGATGTAATACTATGTGACTTTGTAGCCAAATGACCATCAGGGATATGTCATAAATAAAACAAAGGTCTGAGGCTTCGTAATGCGCAGAGCCTCAGAGGTGGACCAGAAGTGAAGAGCTGAAGAAGTCGAGAGGCAACTTCTTAGTAAGTTATGAACTCAATCAGACTTTTTTAAAAACTGTTTATGATTCTGAAGGAATCTGTTGGGAAAATAGAAGTTAAAGAACAATGCAAAACAATGCCTGAATGAAGAGCGTGATTGACAACTGGACTGTCCAATGGGAATCTGGATGCAGTGATACTTATATGTGGTACTATATGGATGAATGACATTTTTTAACAATATTCTCTTTTTTGTCTATTTTGCATTAAAAATTAAAATATCATCATCACTTCCTATTTTAAACTAGTAAGATGTTGTTCCAAAATCACAGGTGATCATTTTGTGGATCATAATTATTCTTTTTATAATTCTCTTTTTATTGAGATGAAGATTTTTACATCGTTCATATATTCATGACGCTAAGATTTTGAGACAGTAACAGGAGCACATGATACAGTGCATTATATATCTCAGTACTCATGTCACCAAACAATATGCAAACTACATGTAGGATCTAAATTTTCCATCCACCTTTGGAACCAGATGGCTAAGATATACACATACAGTACTTATCTTATTATATATCTAAAAACAGGTATTAAGGTCATATAAAAACCTATTATTTCAAATGCAATACTCACATCCTAAATTGCTGTTGTTGGATGGCACCACCAGCAGCTCAGCCTGGGAGTTCCTGATGATGTCACGCCAATGGATCGTATCAGCGTGGCAAAGAAATTTATTCTGGTCAACATAAACGCCCCCATTGAGTATCTCTGCAAAGGAAGATAGAAAGGAAGGAGAAAAAAAAGAGCAATAAGGACAGACTGTAGAGATGGATATAAAGTACATATACACAATGGCAGGAAATCAATGCTTCAAGGATAACTCCCAGCGTGGCTAGGTTTCAACGCACTACGCTCACTGTGCTCCCTGAAGTGCATCTGGGCGTGAAGATGAAGGCTCCTGACAAATGCCTGCCTTTATTCAACAACATCATGTTTGATGCACTCTAGAAAGAAGCGGCATACATTATTTTATACAGCAAGGATTTTGAAATTAAAGGAAGATTAAGGAGTAAAAATATAAAGAAAAGACCATTGTTAAAGATATGTTCCAACATCATCATTATTATTACTTTAAATCCTTATGTAAGGATTGTGTTGATAAATGTGGTTTTGTAAATGGTTGCTTGTGTCAAGTTGCTGTGTTTATAGAAAAAACTGTAATGGCGGCTCTCGTGACCTGCTTCATATTGCCCTTGCTATAGGTCAAAGCATTGTTTATTGCAATTTTAAAAATACAGACTAGTGCCTGAAGCTTGATAACAAAGAGTAATCTCTTCCACAATTTTCTAATCCATGTTTGGGATATGGACACAAAATGAAACAGGGCCATGTTAATCCTCTCTCCAACTCCCAGGCTGTGACCCAAGGCAGGAAAGACACAACACCCTCTCGCACCGGTGTCTCATTTTCTTTAACACGAAGGCTGACTGCGTTGTTTAACCCAGATGAGGGATTTAGATACAATTCACCTTGTATCCCCTTCTCTTGAAAATGAAGTACTGGCTGATTCCATGAAAGCTCTTGTCAGAATAAAAGAAATGTGATATTAAAAAATAAAAAAGGTGGTTTAGATTAAAGCTGGGATTATCTAAAGGTAAAGACATGTATTATCTCCATGGGTAGATTATTAATGCTGAATGGGATATGTGGACAGTTCACCCATCAAGAAGCACACACAGGAAGCTAATCATTACCATCTGACACCCTGATTAAGGAAGTGGGCCTTGGTGCAGACGGGAACATTCATTCAAAGCACTCTTAGGGTGACATAGTATTATGTCGGCTGAATGGCCCCCAGTCGTGGCTTCATGTAATCATGTTCCAGTCACAAAGGACAATTTATAAAGGGAGTGTTTTCAAATTGCTTAGTGTCCTACAATTGGACATTATATAAAAAACACAATTTAATCATATATTTATCTTTTAGGGATATATACCGTATATATGTACAGTATATGCATATATATATATATACATACACATATATATTAATAGTCCAACAATACATGTATCTGTACTGAACCGTTCAATACACTGGTCTCAGATTGCTACGCAATATGAATCGCACAATAAGCAATTTGGTATTTATTTTATCAACTTCTGACGATTGATATATAGATCATAATAACTCAATGAAAGGAACACAACCACACTGGGAAACAGGAAAATGAAAGTCCTGCATGCTTCCCAGAAAGATTCTTTAAGGAGTCCAGGTGGCATTCCACCGTCGAGATTTTTTTTAAGGTGGCATGCCCACTAGTCCAACCTTAAAACAAAATAACACACAACAACCACTGTCTGTACCAGTGCAGTGCGGACTGCCTTGACCTCTACAGCCTCTTCAGGCCAGGACTCATTTCATCTGCGTGAAGGAAGCCATTTATGTCACTTTCCTACAATTGAGGAAAGGTGTGGCCAAAGGTGTGGCCAGTTAAAGACCTGCATAGAGTTAAAACCAAGAGGGTCTTATTCCATATCATTTCTTTAAAAATGGAGCTGAAGTATGTGCTAAAGGTAAATAACAAAGTCAGGGACATGGTGAATCTTGAGACTGCACCATTTCCATAAAGCAGAGGTCGTTAATCCATGCAAGAACTGTTTGATGACAGAGCTGTGTCAGACATTCTCGGCCCACAGACCTGTGTTTCCACCACCCTGTCATTTCTTTCTGCTCTCCTTGAGTATAGCCCTTCCTCTCCATGCTTCGATCTTTCCATCAGGATGGAAGATATACAACCAACCATCCTGGCAACCTCACCACCATCAAATACCTTCACCCTTCACATGCATTTGATAGATGAGCTGGCCATAAAAACTATTGTCCTGCAACAGAATAAAGGAAGGCGAGAGGAACAAAGAAGACAGTGACCCAGAGACAGAGGATGTCATTCTTTTCAAACTTTCATATATACAGTAAAGACCCTGTGCTTTTGTTTCTGTCCACTGCTTCTCTCCATTGCATCACTGCATATGCATGACTATGGAGTAAAGGCGAAAGTCAACACATAAATGAGGAATTTAATTTTATACTGGATAAAACTTGGTAAGCTAGACGTACAACACATTACATTGTTGGAAATAATTAGCCAAGGCTAAAAAGCTAACAATATGCAGTTGAAGCTATAAGGTTATAAGCTAACTTATGTGCTAATATCTTGGTATATGCTATGCTATACTTTATACGTTGTACTATTTACTTAATAATAATAAAATGTCCCCACTGTGGAGCGAATAAAGGTGTTCTTAATCCTAATCCTTATTATTACACTGTTAGTTCACTGTAATGAATGTGTAAAGGTGGTTCTTAATCAGAGGACATCAAAACCTAAATGTATTCTTTAAGTTTTGTTGAGAACATTTTGACCAAATTATAGAATTATATTTACGTACATAAATCAACAGTTGTAGCAGCACACTTGAATTTGAAGTTGGCTATTTTAATAAGAAATCCATCTGCGAGGCTCATCGAGAACTATATATTTGTATTGTTGGCACTGGCTCATTCCCACTTCCATTTCAGCTTCTAATTATATTTACTACATGACATGAAGATTTATCACTCACTCTATCCTTTTTTTTCAAAGTCTCTTGTCTCTTTAGTTAGTACAGTCAGTACTCCTGGCTTTAATTATTATTATTATTAATGTGAATTTCTGACCAATCAGGACACAAAAACAAACGCACTAAATAGATACACAAGACACACAAAATGTTCCATATGGAATTGCATTTATAAAGTTGACCAACTAAGGGACACAAAAGGATGCCATAAAATCAATGATAGAGAAAAATCAACCTGATTAAAGTCCTAATGATGTTGGGAATAAACTTGTCACACCGCTGATTTTTGCATTTATAATAACCATTTCATAGCACTTACTGTTGTGTACACAGAGCAAAGCCATTAAATAGTTCAAAAGGGCCTTTTCTTTATCCTTGTAAATGTTGGACTTTAGAGAGCAATAAAAACAATGAGAACAACACAAGGGCAGTAGCATTTAAAAACAAGGTGGAGGACCGCTGTTTGGACGCCACACACTAAATGGAAAAAACAGGCCAGTCAGGGTGAGGGTACTTAGGGAGCTAAAAATGATCCCCGTGCTAAGCCGCTGTTGCAAAGCGAGTGGGTCATTTTGATGTTGTTCAGCCACGCGGAGAGCCCATATCTTGAAATAGTTCCTGAGCAATGATAGTTCCAGTACCAATCAGTTGCCCTGGCTCCGTAGGGAGCTGCTGTTCATCAGTGCTGTTAGCCACTGGTCCCACAACACTCACCCCTCCCCCATCTCTCTTCCCCTCTCTCTCTCTCTATTTCATTGACTAATTATGCCGATGAAGAAAGCCGTGGTCACAATCCGTCCTCCAGTGATGAGTCCATAAAACTGCACTTATTGTTTTGTTTCGAGACATGGAATTTCACTCAGCCAGAGCTGAGTCCATTAAGAATATCACCAGGTCCTGTTTAGTGGCATTTCATTTGTCTATACTTCTCATTGGAAAGGATTTTAAACACCTAAAAGTTATTTTTTTCACACATAAAATAAAAGCTAAATATTTCATATAGAGTAAACTCAGTCGTAAAACATATCCAGACGTACAAAATTATTCCTTTTTATTATTACAATGTGTGTGTGTATTTCTTGGTCTGCAGGAGGTTTTAACACACTATGTTTTTAAATTTTGACTTTACTATGCTAAATGATTCTTTTAATTTAATTTGTTTTTTAATGATTAATTAATTTAAGAAAACCTTTGTTAAAAAGAATGCTACTTCTCTATATTATTATTATTATTATTATTGTTATTTTTAATAATAATAATAATACTTGTATTTAATTTAATTGTATTTGTTTTCATTAATAAGTGAGAAAGACACTTCTGGATGACAATGTAAACCAGTAAGAAATTGTTGAAGTATGGGGCAGTAATCTTACTTGAAGAATGCTGAGTTACCATCCAATCCATGATAATATCGACATCGTCCAATTTAGTTCAAGGTTAATAGCTTTGAAGAGCGGTGTTTCAGCATTATTGCCACAGTAGATAAACTGGATTACCACAAGCCGAGGATTTTTGTATTTACATGATAAGATAATTACTAAAAAATAGTAACTAAGCAACCATTATCACCATTATAACTGATAGAACCACACACACACAGACAGTAACAAAAGTGTGTTTTCTGCAGTGATACAGAAGAACTTGTATTTCAAGAGTTTAAATTAATGGTGCAGAAAAAGAATTCATTGTAAACATTTTATTTTCTCTTGAATTTCTTTTACTAGTTGGAAACCCAGCAGGCAGGCTAAAACATTATTTGAAATCTTTTATACAATCTAATGGTAAGAAATGTAAATTCACGGCAGTCATTTGAACGCATCAGTTCCCAGTGCTCCGTGTGGCCTGTGACACAGTGCCGACAGCTGGCGTGACAGAAGGTGCTGAACAGGGGAAGGAAACAAATTGCCTTCATTTTCTTAGAGTGCAGCCTCTTCAGGGAACACTGATGAGCATTACCAAAATGGCAACAAATCTGCAACTCAGGAAAATAACTATTGGCTCAGACGAGAGCCAGTGAATTTGTAGACAGAGCAACACAAAACGATTGTGTACAAGCCTCTTGTTGATCTCAGAATCTACTCAGCTCTGCACAAATACAGCTACAGATGTGGCATCAAGCAAGCAGCCAGGGGAAAAAATACGATCGT